CTAAAGTCACATCAACCAAAGATTAACTATTGAAAGAGGTAACTAGTTTCACAGGTGAAATCTGCTTCTCTCTCTATTGTATTAATAGCTTAATTTAGTAAATAGGTTGTAATTAAGATAGAATGGAATCTCCAATGTAGTTCTTAACAAACTCAAATTGAAGAAAACATAACAATTGTCCATATTTACTTTTTACAAATTAAAATTCCCATCAAGACTTTTTTTCTTTTTTCTTCTCAACCAAAAAATTTTGAAATTCTGATACACAAAGACAAAACACTAGTAACTAAAACCGAAAAAAAAAAAGAAGCAAACTTCAAGTCTGGGTTTTGTTCTGAAGGACAAGTAAATGAAAAGAACAGGAAAAAGAGCAATTTGGGAATGAGGAGAGACGGGACAAAACGACGACGGGGAGCGCCGTCGAAGTTGCAAAACGCAAAGAAGAAAAAAGGAAAGCAAAGCGTAGGGCTGTTCATGGGTTGGGTTGGTGCGGGGTAGGACTTTTTTTTTCCCGCCCCAAAGGGTGCGGGTTGCACATATTTGGCCCCAACGATGTGAGAAAAATTTCACAACCCAATGATATTCGGGTTGGGTTGGGGCGGTGCGGGGTGGGTTGGGTGGTCGGTTTCAATATTCAAAAAATCAAAGCCTTAAAGTTCAATATAATATTCAAACTTCATCATTAAATAGAAATAGCAACCATCCTTATCAGTCCGGCGAGAGAGCACCGGAGAAAGTGGGCAAGATGGCGGCCGAGAGGACTGAGCAATGAGGAGAGAGTTATGAGGGGGTTCATGGGAGGGGAAGAAGAGGAAAAACTGAAAAGGAAGAGGCAAGAAGAAGGGGTTTGCGGGAGAGGAGACCAAGAATGAGATTGTGAACCCTAATGTTAGCGAGCCTAGGGTAGAACTTGGGCAGTTCGGCTTGGGCCGAAAGCTTGGGGGTATGTTGTGCGGGTTGGGTTGGGGATTGCAGGTTGTTATGGGCCTAACCCGCAATCCGCCCCAAATACTTCGGGCCAGAGGTATAATGAGCTACAAATTTAAAAATAATGCTGCGGGTTGCTTTTTTCGGCTTGGGTTGGGGCGGTGTGGGTTGGGTTTGCGGGTTGTTCGGGTTTATGAACAGCCCTAGCAAAGCGGCGTAGAAAAGTTAAAAAATGGATTTCGTTTTTGTGTATTCAGAGATGGAAGAGCAATAACGAGATCAGGTTTGTTTGGAAACTTAAAAATGATAGGTGTGTTTAAAATTCGTTTTAAAATAATTTTATTTTTTATATGTAAAAAAAAAAAAACGTTTTCAATTTTAGACAGAAATTATTTTAAAATATGTGTTTGGCAGTTTATCAAGACATTATTTTCAGTGTAAAAAAACTATTAATGTCTCTCTTTCTCTCTTTTTATGCTCGATGGAGAAGAAAATGAAAACAAAAAATGAAAAGCGACTAAAAGTCATTTTTCATTTATTTCTCATATTACACTAAACTAAAAAATTATTTTCTTTTCTATTTTTTGTCTTTATTGCGTCAAACGCCGTTTTGAGAACGTTTTCATTTTTTCTTTCTCAAAAAACGTGAAAAAAGGGATCAATTTCAAACACGGCCAATGTTTTCTTTTTCATTTTTTTTGTTTTTTTTTGTTTTTGCTTAAAAAAAAGAAATCAAAATTTTTAAGAAAAAAAAGAAATCAAATTTTTGCTTTTTTGTTTTGTTTTGGTAATCATCAATTTTTTGTTTTTAATTCAATTAAAATTTTTAAAAGTGCAGATAATAAGGGTTTCTTTTTAAGTTTATTTTTTTAATGGGTTTTGTTTTGTTATTATTTTAAAAATTGTTTTATTGCTTAAACTACTTCTATTTAGTTGATAAATGGCAAAAATAGTTGTTTCAAAAAAGAAAAAAAAAAACTAAAGCAACATGTCTTATTTTTCAAAAATTGTTTTATCAGTTAATACATAGCAAAAATAGTTCAAAAAGAAGAATTAAAGCAATAGGTTATTTTTTTTACCCCTATTTTCTGCCATTTATTTGGGAAATTTGGATGAATAGGAAATTAGTTTTGTTTGAAGACAATTTCCTTTTTGAAACTATCGTTTGCTGAGGTTTAAATTAAGGTGAGTTTGAACTATGTGGGTTTTAAACTGTAGAGTTTGAATTTTAGTTCAAATCCTTATAACTTAAGGAGGATTTGAGTTTAAAAAGCCTTTTATTTTGAGGGTTTAAACGTCACACAAGAGTTTAAATCCATTTTTACTTTTTACAAAATAAACACTGATTTAAACTCGAACACGAGTTTAAACTCCTTAAACCCTCCAAAATGACCCCTAACGACTCATCAACCGCTCTTTTTTTATTTTTGAAAATTAGAAATTGTTATTATTAAAATAAAGTGTCTCGTATAATAATAGTGTTTATGGGTAGAGGTGAGAATTTTAATTGGATAACTTTAATCTGACTAGAGAATAAGAAGCCATGGAGGATTGTTTTATTAACATTTTTACATACATGAAAGTCTTAGCTCTCAAGAAGAAGAAGAAGAAAATACGTAACATTAGAACTTTAGTTGTTATTGTGTCCGACTCCACCAACTGTAAATTTAACGCCACACTTTTGCCCAAACCATACATATGTACCATCAAGTTTTTGCTAATGGTCATAACAAAATCAATAGAATCCTATATGATAGGGTTCTCTTAGGTTGGGACAAACTTATTTACTCCACTCATAAAAGCATGTAAAATATATGGCCCGTTTAGTTCGCTAATTCGAATTAAGATATGACTTTATGCGAGAGTTTTTTACTGTAACAAAAAAGTTAGATGTGACTGTTTTTGAGAGCTTTTTACTATAATAAAACTCGAATTGGTGAAATGAGCGGGGTCATAATTTTGACTTCAACTTTGAGCTTTTGGCAAAAGGTCATAATCTCGATTAAAGTGGACCTTCCTGCAAAATTAGAAAATTCTTTTATTATATCCGGCGTGTAAAGATAAATTTTATTGACACTCCAAATTTGTATTAAGGCACTCCAGTATATTTAAAAATAAAAATTATTTTCTTTTTAAAATTAACATCCTCTCTAATTTCATAAATACCCTTATATACACCCCAAACTTTTTTCACAATTAAAAAATGATTTCTTAAAAAGATTTGCTGTCCTATTTTTTTTTTGGCTAAATCTTTCCCGTTTCAACTATTAAAAAAAAGACACGTTCCATTTTAATCTTTAGTTTGTTGGTTTGAATGACTTGAACCACAAATTTCTCCTTTACATAAAGTATGAACTTGAAAAACAGAAAGTGTTTGAGAGTTTTTAATTTTTCAAACGAAATCATAAAATCATCTATACCTTTTTTTTTTTTTTCAAAATTCTAATAAAATTTTATGTTCACCATGTAATGGAGCTTGATATGAAATTTCACCAAGTTTTAATGCATATACCCAATCAAGTAATTTTGAATTCTGAAGTCGTTTAAGCAGAAATAACAAAATGGAAAGAAAAGGAAAAAAATGTTAAATAAAATGTTTAAAATGGAAAGAATCAAATCTCACCCAAAAATAATGAGAAAGTAAATATTTTTAAGAATTCATATCTTAAAATGAGATAAAGAAAAGTATGGGGTGTATGTAAGGGTATATATGAAATTATATAGGATTTTAGCTTTAAAAAAGAAAATAATTTTAATTTTTAAATATATTAGGGTGCCTTAATAAAAATTTAGGGTGTAAATAAAATTTTTCGCGTGTAAATTACAAGCGCTACACATGGATTAGTACCGTGTCCTGAGTTTAAAGATAGTATTAGTATATAGGAATTTTTCTAGTGTTCTCTTTTTTTTATGAACACCGGTATTTTCTGCTTATCAACTGTCGCATTTATATTACTTTTACAATCTAATTTGACTTTTGACCAAATTTAATACAAATTTAACAGTTAATAAGTAAAAAACACCGATATTCTTAAAAAATAGAACACAAGAGAAAGTCTCATTAGTATATAAAGGGCATATAAAGGAGGTCATTCGTTAATGCCGTCACTTAAGGGATAGATGAGAAACTAGGTCCATTTGTGATGAAATAATTGATCGAACCTCATTTGTTACGGGACTTTTGTCAACGCAATAAAGGTATTTATTATCCATTATCTTCTACAAATTTTTATTTTATTTTATCACATTTCCTAGATAACAAAACCCTAAAGTAAAAGTAATTACTTGATTTACCACCAAACCAACCCTTTGTACTAAGAATATTGTGTTTTAATTGTAAATCTGATCCAAAAAATCTTTAGGCTTTTAGTGGTTTGGGAATCGTTATGGATACGAGGAAGATAAACTTGTTTTGCAAATGGGCGGTATAATGAAGGTATTTACTACTTGACATGGTTACTGGGTACACATGGTTCACTTTTCGTGCATGTTCAGATTTAATTTCATATTTAAACTCAAATCCAAACTATTTCAAATGTATTTAAACCCGCGAAAAAACAAACCCTCAATTCACATAAACATTAATTAAGAACGAGAATGGATTGATGCATACAATTGTCAATAATTACTACACCATACTAAAGAAAAAATTGTAGGCGTTTCAAGCCTTATCATGTTTCTTTTATTTTGACTACAAGAGAACAGATACTAAAACAAAAATTAGCACATGATTACTATACATTGTGAGTGGACTCAGAGAGTGATTTGCGGCCTAAAATAGAGACAATTGGAACAATTCAGATTCGTTTCATGACAGATTTGTGTAGACAAGGTTTTTAGCAGCGGTCATTTTTTCAAGCTGGATTATTTAGATTAGATTGAAACAGAACAAAAAAGTGCCAATAAGTATTTAGAAGTCATATTGTGATATTGACATAATCTCAGACTCATGTTAAATGTCAGTTAAGTACACGTCGCTGTAACTCAAAAAGGGCCCAAAATGCAGAAGAATCACAACCCATAAACCTCAGAGACGGGAAGAAAACAAACAAGAATAAGTTAGACATGTATGAAAAGACTTCCATTCCAAAACTAAAACTCAGTGATCAAGTTTCAAAAAAAGAACATACAAGTAATAAAAATATAAATAAAGTTTAGGTTGTCGGAACTCATAAACAAAAAGGGGAAAAACAAAAAAAAAAAACGAAAGGAGGAAAAAAAGCACATGCCTGCTTCAGTGTATCTACCTATCAAAAAGATTTAAGAATGGAGAACCATATACGTTCAATTCCAGTTCAAAACAGTTTGCACTAACAGATTTGACCTTGTAGATTTGCTCTTCCATTATTGCAATTGTCATAGTCATAAATAGGTATTCGCTCTCCGAAGTCTGGACAAGAATTCAGAACAATAGACAAAATAAAACTGGATTAGACAACGAGCAATCAATGTTAAAATACCAAGACAAGTTCCGCATAAGAGAGGCCAAACCATGGATGGTTCATTGGTTCAAATCAACATTAAGATGGAAAGGCAAAATGTTCTATACAAAACAGGAAAATATACAAACGTGATAAGATCTCACTCCTTTATTATAACTTATAAGACAAGAACATGAGTGACCGCTTACTACACTACTATAACAAATTCCTGATAATAACTTCAGAGTGTTGTCCACGTAAATGGGGTCGACAAACTCAAAATTTATTTCATCCTCACCATAGCAGCGCATAAAATTCTTCAACTAATTTAAAATAATCCTCCAAATATATCTGAATGCATTTAAGTTCAGTTTTCCACATGTCTTTTCATCATACAACCTAAAAAGAAAAATCCACCATATAACTTCTCAAAGACCTCAGGGATCAGTCATATTATGATTCAAAGAACAAAGCCTATGACCGGTAAAAACACAAACATAAAGCAGAAAACTTGGAAGTAAAGAAACTACCCCATTAAGCTTCAGCATCAATCTGCTTATCTTCGACATCATTTGAAGCAGCATTTGCCTCACCCTCAGCATTCTCCACCGGCGGCTGCACTTGCTCCTCCTCCGGCAACGGCTCTTCGCCGTAATCGTTCTCAAACGCATCCGCAGGCACTTCATAGATCCTAACTTGGGGCTTGGACGGATCCTTCAGAAGAACATACTTGCCCTCATTCAATTTCATGCACAAGTCCACAATGGACTTCACAATCCCCCACATATTCGAGGTGTTGAGGTTAATTTGCGCGGCGAAATCCCTCGGCTTATATCCAACCACGGCCAAGATCACATGGTTGAAGTGATCCCGGGGATGAACCCTCGAGACGTATCCAAGTTTCATCAAATCCGCGCTCGAAAGAAGCGCCTGGGCAGTCCATTTAGCCAATTTGTTCGCGTTGTTCTTGAGCTCCGTCGCCAAAACCGCGCCTCTCTGAGTCTCCAGCTTCTGCCTCCAATCGACACCCGAATACTTGGGATCAAATTGGTTCAGAGCGTTCAATGTCAGGAAAGATCTCTGGTTGTTCACCTCAACAACACTCTGAACCTCGCACCGGGCCACCAGATACATGTCGTCGTCAAGCTTCCACCGCGGTACCGGTATGCGACGGAGGCGACCTCTTCGCCCTCGTTGGCGAACGGATTCGGCAAATCGAAAGTCACCTTGTTCCCGTCCCTGATCAGCACCTGCTGAAAGAAATTCTGGTTGATATAAGCGGCCTCAACGCTGAGCGAATATGCGGAATTGATGTCGTCATTGGCCTCCGGCAGAGGCTCCTGAGAGGTCTCGTGGACGGAGAGCAAATCGAGCTGCGAACCATCCCTCTTGTCGAAGAAAAGCTTGTTCCCGACTCGCTGGATCACAATGTCCCAAGAGTAAACCGACCTAGGAGCGCACATGAGCGTGGAGAGGATCGCATCGATGGCGAAAACCGTAGCCTTATCCTCATTCGCAAGCCGGCGGATGACGGGATCATCAGTGGTGGTGACCTTAAAGAAATTGCGGTTCTTGAAGCGCTCGAGGCGGCGCTCGTTCTTCGGCGTGATGCGGTCGAAGGCGCAGTCGTAGAACCCGAGGCCGCCGCAGAGGAGGAAGTCCTCGGGCTCGGGGCTCGGGGACGGAGAAGGAGAGCTTGGAGAAGGTGGAGAAGGGGATCTGGTCGAGCATGTTCCCCTCCGGGTGGCAAAAACCGTAGCCTTATCCTCATTCGCAAGCCGGCGGATGACGGGATCATCAGTGGTGGTGACCTTAAAGAAATTGCGGTTTCATCGAAAGTCACCTTGTTCCCGTCCCTGATCAGTACCTGCTGAGAGAAATTCTGGTTGATATAAGCGGCCTCAACGCTGAGCGAATACGCGGAATTGATGTCGTCCTTGGCCTCCGGCAGAGGCTCCTGAGAGGTCTCATGGACGGAGAGCAAATCGAGCTGCGAACCATCCCTCTTGTCGAAGAAAAGCTTGTTCCCGACGCGCTGGATCACAATGTCCCAAGAGTAAACCGACCTAGGAGCGCACATGAGCGTGGAGAGGATCGTATCGGTGGCCAAACCCGTAGCCTTATCCTCATTCGCAAGCCGGCGGATGACGGGATCATCAGTGGTGGTGACCTTAAAGAAATTGCGGTTCTTGAAGCGCTCGAGGCGGCGCTCGTTCTTCGGCGTGATGCGGTCGAAGGCGCGGTCGTAGAACTCGAGGCCGCCGCAGAGGAGGAGGTCCTCGGGCTCGGGGACGGAGAAGGAGAGCTTGGAGAAGGTGGAGAAGGGGATCTGGTCAAGCATGTTCCACTCCGGCTGGATATCGACTGAGGATTTGAAGACGGCCGCCTCGCGGCGGGGGGCGTTGGCGTTGGAGCGGTTGAGGTGGTAGAGGCGGTCGCGGCGGGCTCGCTCCTTCTCGGCCTCGCGCTTGCGGGCTTCGACCTCCTCGTCGCGGCGCTGGGGGAGCTGGCGCTGCTGCTGGAACCGCCACTTCGGGCCGAATTTGGGGCGCGGCGGGGGCTTGCCGTCGACGAGGCGGAACGACGAGTCGTCCTCGCCGGAGGCGGGGAAGGAGTCGTCGTTGGAGAAGTCGAAGACGGAGTCGGAGGGGTTCTTGGGGCGGGTCTGGTTGTTGAAGTTGCGGGTGAAGTCGGCGATGCGGCCGAGCTTGTCGGAGCGGGAGAAGGGGGCGAAGGGGACATTGAGGGGGAGGTTGGCGGCGGCGGCGGCGGCGACTGTGTATTCCGGAGGGCCCCACCCGTCGGGGTTGAAAGGGACGGCTCCGACTTCGAATCCGCCGACCATGATTGGAGGTTCAGTGATCGGATCTAATGGCGGAGATTTTGGACTCCGATGCGAATGGGTGGTGAGCGAAAGAGAAGATTTCCACTAGAGTGTTTTGTGTTGGGCGTTGGAGAAGATATTAAAACCCTAGAATTTGCAGGAGACTTATATTACGTATTTGCCCTCCTTCCTAGTCGTGGCTAAATGTAGTTTGGGCTTCGTGATGGCCCGTTTGTTTATTGTTAACATTTATGATTTATCTGAATTTCCTCTCCTCTACCCTCACAAATTTTATTTTCTATTTAAAAAAAAAAATCCTCTCCTCTTTAGGAGCTTTTTATTTTCCTGCCCTAAAATCGAGCATCAATTTCTAAAAATTAGCGTTCATTTTAAAATTTATAATTGTTGAAAAATTGTGAGTATTATGACACCATCGTTAATAATGAAAGATAAAAGTATAATGATTGTAACTTTGTGATGAATAATACATGTATACAATATTCAAATATTTCAATATCATAATATTTACAACTTTTTAATAATATTTATCATCATAATCAACGAAATCGAACAAAAAAAATCTATAATAACCAACGAAGCATAAATATTGCATTCATGCTAACAAAATAAAATAAAACTTTTAAAAGGTTGACAATATTTATGTACAGTGTATAAATGTGGCCATTCTCATAAAAATTGTGTAATAATGATCAATGTATTATATATATATATATATATTTATATACAAAAAAGGACAACTGAAGTATCACAAACAATTTATTTTTGAAATAGATGATTTATGTTTTTTTCCTTTGAACTTATATGATTTATGTATTTGTTTATACATTTTTCCTTTTTTGAAGGATTGGCATTTGAAGTTTGGGAAACATTATCTTGAAAGGAAAAAAAAAAACAAGCTATCGTCTTGTAACTTTTTCTTTTTTAGCTACCTCCTTATTGCAATTCATTCTAATAGAAACGAAAGATAAAGTAGTCTTTGCGATATGAAAATAATTTTCAAACAATGATTTTAAAAAGGTGACTTGAGTAAATAACTAGAGTTTAAAAATAATACCAAGCCTTTTTTCTTTTTTTTTTTCTTTTTGAAAAATATCAAGCCTAATTTACACCAAAAAGATAGCCAACTTTTTTTTCCCTCTTTAAGAAAAGCTGAATTTTGGGCTATAAAGAATTGGGTTTTAAAGAATTGGGTTTAAATCCTATGTACGCCCTATAGAGGCGTCAAACGTACTGTGCTGGGACGCCACGACACGTCCAACACCAGGCTCGTGGTGGGCCTGAGGAGAAAAACTCAGGCCAGGTCCAGGCCCATGGCCATAGTCCGTAAGGGCCAGGGCCGGGCCTGGGCCCAGGCCCTGGCCATTGTATTTTTTTAAAATTTAATTAAAAAAAAGAAAATATATCATATGCCCTTAAAAATGTGATTTTATTAAATTGACATAATAGTAATAAGTACACATAAATGACTGCCTCGTTAAAAATCCTGCCAAGTATAACCCGTGGGGAGATAAGGACAAAACCTTAGCGAAAGAAAAAAGAGTGCAGTAGGAATAGTAAATTACAAACCAAAGTGTTTCCAGAAGATTCTGTTATTTATAAGTTAGAAAAATAGTCTTGCATTGAATCATCCGTGTATTGTTGTTTTCGTCTTCCGACATCTTTCTAGTTTTTAACGCACATTAGCCCCTCCAAGATATCTGGATGCATTTTGCTTCTCTTATCGTCAAGAATTCAGTTGTTGCACATTGATACTGGAGTTGTCATAATGTCACGAGCTATTACGGACAATGTTAGAAAACGATCAGTCTTGCTCTTCCACCACTATAAGATGTCTGGTTTGTCGTCATCGATTACAAAATTTGCTTCAAAATATTTTATTAGTTCGGTAGATGCTTGTGTTGATGACGATCCTGTTGTTTTCTCTTTCTTCTTCGAGAAACTCCACGACGATTCTTTAGGCCCTGAACTGCTAGTTGAAGTCGAAATTCCCTATTCTTTTTAACTTGTGCCGTATTTTGCTTCATACAAACTAAATACTTTTTCTAACATTTTCTTAGTGTCAGTAATAGTTAGTTGTATATCAATTCCTAAATTTTCTGCTGTAGCAGTCATCAATGATTCAGTCCCATCTACTCCGCACATAGGATCTAAAATGGTTGCTAATGCATATAACATAAGACAAGCTGACCAATAACTTTTAAATTTAGCTTCCATACTATGTCTCCAAAACGTTTTGTATCCCTATAATAAGAAAATGTTTCTGAAATATTAAATAGTTGATGTAAAGCTAAATGTGCAGTAGTATTATAAACTCCAGAAAGTAATTTAGTAACATTGTAAAAAACTTCTAGAAATTTAAAAAAATACTCACCAATCTGCCAATCTGTATCGAAAATTAAAAGTTGATCGTTCTTACTGTTTACATACGTCGTGATAAGCTGTGAATACGGGAGTGCTGCCTTCAACATCAAATATATAGAATTCCACCTATGTCTCACGTTAGTTGGGAACTTTCTTGGGCGCATCTGACTGTTCCTACAATATTGTTTGAATTCTTGGAGCCGAGCTCTAGAACTAGATATGAACGATAAAGATTCTCTAATATTTGTTAGATTAGATGAAATATGTTCAATTCCTGCCTGAATTACTAAATTGATTATGTGACACGCATACCGTTGATGAAAAATTTTCCCTCAAACGTTGGTTTCAAACTACGTTTAAACATGTTAATTGCAACCGTGTTAGCTGACGCATTATCAAACATAATAGTTAAAACTTTATCTTCTATCTCATAAAACCCAAAAATTTCCATTATTGTACCAAAAATAGATGATGCGTTATGAGGATATGAACATAAACAAAAACTTATTATTCTTTTGTGTAAAACCCATTCGTCATCAACATAATACGCCGTGACACATAAATATCCAATTTTATTGCACCCATCCCATAGATAAGAAGTGCAAGATACAGTAACATTAAAAGTCCTAAAATTATCAACAAGAGATTGTCTCATTGCATAAAACACTTTCATACAATCAGAACGAGATGTGCTTCTACTTACCCGTTTAAATTGTGGGTAGAAGGCTGTCTGGATGAATTCTTTGAACGATGCATCATCTGCAAAAGAAAGAGGTAATTTGGCACCAGCTAGAAATTTAGCTAGTGCCTCATGAGCTCGTTGTGCATCGTATGTAAAATTTTGCAACCCCTGTGATATGAGTGATAATGTTTGTTGACGGGAGTCCGCACTCCCACCTTGGTGCAACGGTAGACATACTTTTCAATGTCTATCCAGATGACTAGTATCCCCACTATTTTTATCAGAAAAGTGTTTTTTATAGTACTTACATACCGCACGAATTTCCATTTCACCTGTTTTTAGATTTGGTCGGGGCTCCTCGGTGAAATGCAGTCATTCAGGAGAAGTTCACGGTCTTTTTCCCCCGGTGCATTCTCTAGCTTCCTCGTTGTGCACTGAAGCATTATCTACTGGAGCATTTTCTAGTTCAGTGGGGGTGGGGAGGCATCATTTCATCCTCAAAAAATGGCTCATCACCAAGCTCAGGAAGAGTAGTGAAATTAGGAAAGTTTGATGCGGCCATTTTATGGAAATTGATTGAACTTAAACTTTGTAAATAAAAGAGCAAGAAAATGAGTGATCGCAAGAAAAAAGCTTAGAATCAAAATCAACGAGACAAGATGAGAGATAGAATGAGAGTGAGATGAGAAGTTGAGAGTGAATTGTTGTGTGAGATTTATGGTGGAATGAATGGGTATTTATAGGGAATTTTTTGAGGGATTTTCAGATTGTGACCGTTGGGCCCTTCACGGGCCCAATGGTCGGCTCGTGATAGGCCTAACAGGAGGCCCGTAACGGGCCGACCGTTGGGCCCGTGAAGGGCCCAACGGTCACATTTTGAACTGGCCGAGGGCCGTTTCGTGGGCTTGGGCTGGGCCGAACAAGGGCCGAATCTGGGCTTGGGCCGAACTGGGCTTGGGCCGGGCCGTGGGCCTTCACAGGCTAGGGTCGGGCTTGGGCTGCGGGCTGAGAAGCCGAGAAGCCGAGGCCCAGCCCTAGCCCATCACACGTGCCAGGCCGGCACGACCCGTAACAGTACCGTACCGGGCCGTGCCGAACTCGACACTATTATAGGTTGGGCCAGGCCGTCCATGGACGACCCATCCCATTTGACATCTCTAATGCCCTATTACCGTCAAATGTCTATTTTGAAGACGAATACATTCTAAGAAAAATAACAAAGTGATAAACTTAAAGCACATCATAATAAAGCATGCCAAAAGAGCCAAATTTAGCAGACTCAATTAGGCTAAATCTCAAGCTTTAAAGGTAACTGGCACAAATTTTATGTTTAGATTGACATATGCCAAAAAACATAAACTATTATTGAAAATACCATAATCATGTCATTACACTATATTTAGAATACCAAATATACTCTTACAATACCGGTCAATATCCGGTCACAATAACAATATCCACATGGATACTGAATGGTTACCGACTAGTATTTGCCGGTAACCACCATTACCAGCGGCTAACCAGTATCCACCATAGCCCGTGGCACCACCGTCGCTGGAACCAACTAGTAACCATAATCACTGATATCTTGTCTAGGAACCGCCAGTATCTGGCTATTAACCGACAGCATCCAGGGCGGTAACTAGTGGTATCCAAGTCGGTAACTAGCAACATATTGGCAGAAACACTGTGATTGGTGGCAGTATAGCCGTCACCATTGTCGGAATACCAAAAAATTTAGCAAATTCACAAAAATCCACTAAAAATTATAAGAAATTCACCAAAAATCCACCGGATCCACAATCAAGAAAAAGAAGAAAAAGAAAAAGTTTCGGCTTTCAATTTGGAATCTCCTCTGCACAGATATCTCCGGATCTCTACCGTCACATATCTCCAATGTTGCGATGGAGGAGATCTCCGGATTTCCTATGTGTAACGGAAGAGATCTCCGGATCTCCGTCATGAGTGGAGGAGATCTTCTCAAATCTCCTTTGTGTGATGGAGGCACGACGCAGCACTGAAGAAAACACCGCAAAATCTCCATGAGTGGATCTGTA